TGCAACTGAACACAGATTAAAATGATTGACAGCTATTTACTATTTACTTGCTCTATATTTTTCAATTTATTTTTTCTGTTTATCTGTTTTATTGTGTTGCACTGTTGGAGTGAACCTGTGACTTAAGATGTTCATCGTCATAACTACACTGTTGCTACGTTTGTATGACAAATAAAAACCTCAAACCTATGTATGTAGTCTACACAGATATGTATATATGCAGTTCTGGAAAATATGTATATGTATAGCCTGGGGGTACAACCTGTAGTATGAACGCATGTGTTTTAATAAGAAAAACAGGATGCTTACATATGCTGCTGCATGAGAAACAACCATGTAAACAGACTTCCTAACACAAGAACATATTCTTTAAGAGGTGCTTTATTTAGAAACTATATCTATAACAACTTCAGGAAATGCAGGGTGAGATCATGTTTGTTTTTATTCAATTTTTATATATATTCAATCATTTGAATAAAAGTAGTCTTGTTCAAGTAAATTGATGCTTTACGCCTCAGCTTGAGCAGTGACAAACATTTCTATATCTATGCATTACATTAAAAAAAAACACTATGTGCTGGAGGGCCATTTCCAATGTCTCCTAAGAAAAGGTGGTGAGAAATATGGTCAGTAGGGTCAAACTAGGGTTTGCTGACTTGAATCACATCATAATTTCCCCCAATTTCAATACAGTCAGGTGTATTTAAAAACATATATACACCTTATTAGGTTTTTTAATTGTTTCTCCCATGTTCCCAATTACCATATTTCTCTGTTAAGTCTATTTAAAGGCTTTACGATGTGTAATGCAGCTGGAGCTGAATTAACTCTGACTAAAGTACTTGCAAATATATGTTTGAATACTAAAAGGTGTAATAAGAATAATTATGTTCCCCTTCACTACCTGCCATCACTCTGCAATGAATATTTCATAATAACCTTCTGTGGTTTCTGTGTAATCAACACATCATCACATTTCACATCCAATTCTCTCTCTCTGTTCCAGACTTTGTATTGTGTAGCATCGAAAATGACTCGTCTCAAACAGCTAAGATTTATGTTTAAACAGTTTAACAAACAGTCAGTTGGGTTTACCTTGTTTCACCTGAATATATATGTGCTATATGAACACAACCTGAATCAGTTCCCTCCTTCAGCGAAAGTCCCACGTGGCTAAAAAGGTCAAAAGTTCATCTGAATCTCAGCGTCTCTTTCATGTCCCTCCTCTTGCTCTGCCCTTGAAGTGAAGATGGTGGGTTTTTTCTTTTGGAGGGCCCATGGGGCAGCAAGGCTTCTGTCTTTGATGTTATTCCCTCCATCTCACACCTGAGACACCTCAAGTTTAGAAGAAAATGACTGGGGAGGTGACAGATGAGATACAGGACAAGATAAGTCAAGAGTCCTGTCAATAGGATGAGACCACTCCTTTATTTTAAGTACTTATAAAACATGTCAGAACTTCAAGCATAAATTAGACCATGAAAAAAGCATTTGAAATCATTGAACGAATAGAGAGGGAAAACAACTAGATTAACCTTTTAGCACACTTTTAGACAACAATGATTTAAACAACGGGTTATTAAAGTTAACGTACTGGGTAGTTGATTTTGTAAAAAAAAATATATATATACAGTATCTGCTGATTTACAAACATCTCTTTCAAAATACACAGAAACTGTAGTACCACTGTTTGAACACTAGGAACTGGACCAGGACTCTCTTGAACAATAGATTTTTAATCTCAATGAGACCTATCCAGGTTAAATAAGGTTAAATAAGGTAAAATAAAATAAGGAACATTTGCTTCAATGCCAGCCGCACTCCCTTTGGGGCTTGGTCCCCACAATGTAAGGAAAACCTATTGGACCCCGCAATGTGATGTACACAACCACACACACACACACACGCTTTCTATTCATCATCATTGGTCTTGATTCCTCCTTGAATTCATAACTGCAGATGATCCTTCACGTCTTCCATCCAAATAAAGTCTCCTGAGAAACCTGCAGTTGGTCCCTCAGCTTTATTCAGAACGTTCTCCTATCTCCTCTAAGTGTGTGTTGTGTGTGTGTGTGGTTCTGCAGTGAATAATAGGTCCAGCAACATGTGCAACATGAATGTATTCCACTACTTGACAAAGTGTTTTCATTACTTTGAGCAGTGTGTTAGGGTTGGTGTGTAAAGTCTCTTTGTCCACAGCCTTTTGTCTGTGATAATGAGCTGTTTTGTTCTCAGTGTTTATGTCCTCGATCGTACATCATCCAGTGTCTCTGTTTATCTCCTAGCAATTCATCTTTATGAGGAAATCCTACATAATAATTCATATGTGGAGTCGTTCCATCAAATAACAGACAGCGGTGTGCATTGACGTGTCAGAGTTTAAACTAAAAACATCACACTCTTTGTGGTAGTTTTCTAAAATATTTACTTTACTGGTACATTTGCAAATGTATTTATTCATCTATAAGGAAAAGTGTTTTTTGAGTGTTAACTAGATCAGTGGCAGCGTTTTATCTCTAACTTAATCCAGCTTTGAAATTACTACTAGAAAAATGGGTTGTCCTGTGAGGTGTTCAGAATAAAGTATTATTGTCCTTTTCAAACAGTTTTTCCATTTTTATTTTAACACACATTTCCCTTACATGATGAATTTGTTGATGTTTGATTAGATTGTTTGCAGTGTAGATAACTGAATAACAAATATCCACCAATATATTTTAGCAGCAGCTTCTCAGGACAAGGTTATCCCAGAGAAAAATCTGGCATATATCTACATGTTGGAGACAGAATGAGGCAGCTCAGCGGTGGAAAACACTCAGCACGGAGGTGGCAGAAAGGCATGGCACTATTTGGCAAGAACATAACGTCTCTGAGAACACTTTGTTTTCTGAAGCAGCTTGTGGTTGAGTAGGAGAGCTGAGTACATTTCGATCTGTTTTCCCTTCAGCCATTAGCACATTAGCCAAGGCGAGTTTATTTAGAGGGCATCTTTGAACAAGGCATTTCAAAGTGCTTCACATAAGACGTTAAAAGGTAAACAAGTGACACAAGACAACTTTTTGTAGAAAACACATCTTCAAAAGCTTTTTAATGCTAAAAAAATCACATACTTGCTTCTGTTAAAGCTAAACATAATTACCAAAGTTGAATCACGACACTTTAGTGGATGTTAGTTCTTGAATTGCCACATTGGCAGGACAATGGGGAACTGCTATAGTGCAGGAAATGATTATCTTAAAGTTAAATTGTCAAAGGAACATTATATTTACTTTTGGACTTTTCTTCTAGCTGAATTGTTTCTTTTTATGTATTGGTGTTACCACTTTAACTTTCAAATCTTAACTAATGACACTGCTAACAAGTCATCAACACGCTACAGCAGAAAAGGGTTTGCATTAGGTAGATGTATCATCATGTATCAAATGAATCATAGTTGTTTTCAAAAAATCTTCGTATTTAAACGATAACAAATATACAAACATGACTAAATCAGAACAGAAACAGAAATGCACTCTCTATGGT